CCCTCCTTGCTGTCCCCCTACTGGCGAGATCACCCTCCCTGCCATTTCCCCATTGAGTGGCTGTCATTTTGTTGTCTCAATAAAGGTTTATGCGTTTGCCATCTTCTCTGTGTGTTCTGTCCTGCCTACCCTCCGTCACAGTACTGCTAGCAGTCTATACTATGAAGATATGGCCCACAATTCCAGTCAGTGGTTCCAGGTGTGTCTTTTAGACTCTGACTCCAGCATCCTTCTGTCTTGTGAGACTATAATATTGAACCATGTTAGTTTCATACCAAAGCTAGCAAGTCAACTTTTTACAAGCATACAGTAATAGCATGATGACATGTGTTAACCACTTCCCGACTGGCCATTGTATATAAACGGCCGGACGGTGGCAGTACAGGGTCGGGTGGCCGTTTATGAACGGCCTCCCCGCACCCTGCTTGTGCGCGCTCCCTGGGAGCGCGCAGCACCGCGATCCGGTGCCCGCTGTGTCCTCCGGACACAGTGAAACACCGATCGTTGGACGGGACCTCTGTAAGAGGTCCCGATCATGTGATCACTGATTGGCCAATCAGTGATCACATGCAAAGTAGTAAGCAAGATGTCACTTGTGACATCATTGCTTACTATGTGTGAAATCTGTGAATGATCACAGAGGTCACATAGTACAAGGCTATTCACAACAGCCTTGTACCATGTGACAAGCTGTGAACAATCACAGCTCACTCAGTATTTCTCAATGAGTGCAGGAATGCACACACAGAGAAAGAGAAATGATTGCTTTTACATCCTATATGGGTATAAAAGCAATCAGTAAAAAAAAAAAAAAAAATAAATCTTCATCACCCCCCACAAGTAGTACAGTGTCACCATGGTGACACTGTACTGCTAGGGTGACAGTATGTAAAAAAAAAAAAAAAATATGTTTAAAAATTATAATTTTTGGTTATAAACTAATTTGTTTTTTTTTGTTTTTTTGCTAAAAAGATAACGGAATACATTTTGACAAAGATGTATGATGACATATTATTTATTTGCAAAATTTTATAAAAAAAAACACTTTTGTTCAAAATATTTGGACTTTTTCATTACATAGCAAAAAAAATAAAAATCCCAGTGGTGAATAAATACCACCAAAATAAAGCTTTATCTGTCTCAAAAAAATGGTAAAAAAATTAATTTGGGTACAGTGTTGCATGACTGCGCAATTGTCATTCAAAGTGTGATAGCGCTGAAAGCTGAAAATTGCCCTGGTCAGGAAGGGGGTAAAAGTGTCCGGTCTGGAAGTGGTTAAAAATACAGATCAATGCAAAATTAAAGAATACAGTACCTGTGAAAATCCAAGTAAAATCACAAGTTGTTAATGCACCTTACTGTATGCATACATGTGAACCAATCCTTTTGCATAATAAAAGTCAATGAGTTTCTGATTCACTGAAACAATGCATTCCCCATGTGGTTTATAACTTATCCCAATAGTTGTTAAAAGTGAGGATTAAGCTGGTCATAGATGAACAAATAAAACTGACCCTACCTTGAATGTGTGGATAGGGGAATCCTCTTGCTGTGTCATTGTGTTCTGACAGCGGGGATACTGTCTTTTTGATATTGAATGTATTTTAAGGGATAAATTCATCTTCTGGAGCATGTTATTTGTTACACCCATATTTAGGGGTCTTCCCCCTCCCCCCTTAGCTGCCCTCATAGTTCATTGACACTTCCACCAGCTTTGTAACTATCTGACCATATGTAGGTATGGACAGGCAAGCTGGAGGCAGTGTCTGCAGGAGCCTTATATTGTACCCGCAATCTACTGATCGTAGGGGCAATGCTCTGCAGGCTCATCAGGAAAACAAATAAATGCACATTTTTATTCCTGTAAAAGTGCGCATATATTGTATTTTTTCTTAAAAGTGGACTTAACCTTTAAGCCCCCTGACTGATTTATTTGTTGCTTGGAGCAATTCTTTACAGTAAAGCTGGCCATACAGGCCTCAGTTTTTTTTCCATTTAGCCAGCCGGCTGAATGAAAAAACTGAACAGATTTCCCCATCCACACATTTGAGGTGGATGGGGAAATCCTCCCTGCTGTGTTATTGTATTCTGACAGTGGGACTCCCCCACTATCAGAATACACAGATCATACATGGCCTGGGCTGCATGAGCTGATCTAGCAAAAATATATACCAACAATCCCGATAATGAAAAGTCAATCTACTGTATAGATGAACGGGAATGGCCGTACATGGATAAAATTGCGCCTGGTTCCTGCTGAACTGGAAGAATTTTGATCCCTGTATGGCCAGCTTAACCTGTTTCTTTCCTAAGTTTCCTAGCATACACTAGTGTAAAGTAACAACTGAAATATATAGTCAGGATTTACATAGTTAGTCTTGGCCTAAAAAGACAAAAGTCCATCCAGTTCAACCACAGAAAAAAAAAAAGTTATAATCCTATACCCACAGTTGATCCAGAGGAAGGCAAAAAAAAAAACCCCAGCAAAGCATGATGCAATTTGCTCCTGCTGGATAAAAAATTCCTTCCTGATCCCCCGAGAGGCAATCGGATATTCCCTGGATCAACTTTACCTATAAATCCAATTATATTCTATGTATCTAAGAAACAATCCAGGCCTTTTTTGAATAGAGGCACCCTCAGCAGTCGTATGTCTTCAACACCCAGGTGTTCCTAAACCAGGAGCCAAGAAAGTCAATGGCTGGGCTTTGCCCCACTCCCAACCCATTTGCTTTCTGCAGTTTCCTTTAACCACTAGCCTACAGGGCACTTATACCCCCTTCCTGCCCAGGCCAATTTCCAGCTTTCAGCACTGTCACACTTTGAATGACAATTGCGCGGTCATGCAACACTGTACCCATATGAAATTTTTATCATTTTTTTGTGACAGATAGAGCTTTATTTTGGTGGTATTTAATCACCTCTGAGTTTTTTTTTTTCTTACACAAACCAAAAACCACTGAAAATTTTGAAAAAAATAATTTTTTTTCTTAGTTTTTGTTATAAAATTTTGTAAATAATTGATTTTTCTCCTTCACTGATGTGCACTAATGAGGCTGTAGTGATGGGCACTGATAAGCTGCACTGATGAACACTGATAGGTGACACTGATGAGGAGGCACTGGTAGGTGACACTGATGGGCATTGACAGGCATCACTGATGGGCACTGAAAGGCAGCACTCATAAAGGGCACTGATAGGCGGCACTGATAGGCAGCACTGACTGGCACTGTTAGGTGGCACTGACTGGCACTGTTAGGCGGCACTGATAGGCAGCACTGATGGGCACTGATAGGCAGCACTGATGCACGCTGATAGGTGGCACTGACTGGCACTGATAGGCGGCACTGACTGGCACTGATAGGTGGCACTGATTGGCAGTACTGATAGGTGGCACTGACTGGCATTGATAGGTGGTGTCACAATCATGCACACAGAGATGGGCGCAGTCATCCTGTTAGGAATGGACTGGCCAGCAATGGTGGGACTCACCTGCCTTTTGATCTGCAGTACCAGGGCTGGCCAGCGGGTGCTCCCAGCAATCAGAGACTCAACCTTTCAGCCAGCTAACACCTGGAACTGATGATACTGGGGTATTTAAGGGATGGCCAGACTTGCAGACTCGGCCTTGGTGTTGTGTTTGTCCTGGGCCCTGTATCTGTCCTGCATCCTGTTTCTGTTCCTTTGCTGACTTCTCCTGCTCTGATCCTGGCTTGTGACCCTGACCATCCCTCTGTCTGACCCTCTGTACTACGCTGCTTGCTACCTGTTCTGATCCCTGGCTTGTGACCTGGACCATCCCTCTGCCTGACCCTCTGTACTATGCTGCTTGCTACCTGCTGAACCTGGCCTGTGACCCCGACCATTCTCCGCTTGCTCCCCCTGTACCTACCTGCCCAATTGATATTGACCCGGCCTGCCTGACGACGCTTGCTTGTATATACTGTTATCTGTGGGTGGTTTGGTTTGTTTGCACCGTATTATGTTTTAGTATTGCACTGCGTTTATGTTTGTACTGTTAGTGTTAATAAATTATATTGTTTATAACATATCTGAGGTCTGCGTTTCCCTGCTTCAGTCACACACCTCTGGTCATACCTGGGAGCCCTGACACATCCATTCTCCTCCAAACATCTACATTTTGGTATCCCTCCTCAAAACACATAAGTCTCCCTCCTCTGATTTCCCCCCTCCCTCAGGAATGCGTTCAGCATACCTTGCTAAGGGGCTGTCTATACAATCCTCTTGCCAAATAAGGTATTGGCTTGTACGTTGTAGGAAGATCCCAGTTGATTTTGTGTAGGAAAAGAAGCTGTTATGCTTTGTGTGTAGTCCGAGAAGCGCGGACTGTCTGTGTTTTAACATCTAGCAGACCGAGAGAAAGGGGAATCGCACGGAACCAACAAAACTGAGTGCGAGACCAGAAATCCCTTTTTAGCTCATCAGACTTGAAACTGCTTAACCCGGGCATCTTTGTGGGCAAGTACTTATTTACCTAAACTTCTTTCTGTTATCTGTTTGCTGTGCTGTTGTGCTCTGTATATATATATATATATATTGGTTACATGTTTTTCTGTAAATATTTCTACTGCACCCTTTTGACCTTTTAGTAATAAATCTTACTTTCTGAAAGCGTTGAACTGTTTCTATAGTTCTTTAATGTGACTTACGAATCCCTGCCGCTGAAGAGCGCTACTTTGAGTGTTTAACCATCTGTATAACCGGTCTGTCGCGATAGCGGTATACTGTCGATTAACCAATCATCCTAGTGTATTGCTGAGTTTCCTCTTTCTCTGTATAAAAAGGAGGTGGTGGCAGTGTGAAGGGTTAATTGCGTAACTAACCTGACCCAGTAACAATCGCATTCAGGCTGCAGGTACGTCGATTGTGGTCCAATTAGCTGGAAAATCGGTGTACAGGGTGCAGCTGGGTTTGGCATTGTTACACACATGACATCGCAGTTTTAGATTGGATAGTCCTGCTTAGGTGGCACTGACTGGCACTGATAGGTGACACTGAAAGGCAGCTCAGATGGGCACTGATGTGGCATTTATGTGGAACTGATAGGCACTGAAATGTGGCACTGATGTGGCACTGATGGGCACTGGCAGGTGGCATGGATGAGCACTGACAGCTGGCACTGATGGACACTGACAGCTGGCACTGCTGGGGCTACACAGATCATCAGGGCACACTGATCATCAGTGCTCTGATGATCAGTGTACATGTCCCCTCCGAGGAATGCCGATTACTGGCTCTCCTCTCCTCACGAGCTGTCAGCGTGACAGCTCGTAAAGAGAGAAATGCTGATAACCGGCATTTCCCTGTTTACATGTGATCAGCTGTGATTGTACACAGCTGATCACATGACCGCGCTGACATCTTCGGCTCTTTCCGTGGATCGATGATCCGCTGTGTCCAAGGGACACAGCGCACCGCCGATCGCCGCGCTGTGTGCTCCCGGAGCTGCGCATGTGCGGTTAGAATGGGAGGACGTCATTTGACGTTCTCCCAGAACGAGATAACCACCTTGCGCATGTCATTGTACTATATGGCGGGTGGGGGGCGGTTAAAGAAAACAAGGCCACCCATCACTTAAAGGCATTATAAACCATCCTACCTGCATCTTGCATTTTTCACTTGCACAGGATGTACATTGATCATGTTGTTTTATGGCATTTGTTGCCCTGTATGCACTATAGTAGTACTAGCCTGTAGTAGAGTAAATCTTCACATTCCTGTGTCATAGGTTTCAGTTTGTGTAGAAACATGAGGCATGTGGCATGGCACTGCACAGGTTAATGCATAACCTCCTGTTGGTAATATAAGAACTGAACATCCTGTAAAGAAACTATATATCCCACAATCCCTGGGTCTCTCAGTCCAGTGCTCTGCAGGTAAGAGCTAAACATTAATTAGATCTGAAGCAGACACAAGCAGGCAGAACAATGGAGAGAAGAGATGTGTTTTCATTGCACTAGCACTCCCACATTTGTGATTTGTGATGCAACACAGATAGAAAAGCAAGGTCTTGCTTGGACACTGCCTGACTAGGAACATAAAGGTTACCTGTCCCATTAGCAAATGGGGACAAGCTAGGTGAATCAATACAGGGACATAGGGAAATTGGTTAATCACAACACTACAAACTGTACGCACAACATGTTAACCCATTGTGTTAAGGTAAGACAAACAAGGGAATATACAGTACACACCTACACTAATAATTAGTTAATACAACAAAAACATCTGAAAGTGTTCAATGCCCCTAAACAAACCTTAGGGAGTTGCAGGAGGTATGAGTGTATAGACAAGCCATTCTCCAGAAAATGGGTAATTAGCATATCAGACTGACCTAATTTAGGGACTCTCAGCTACTTGAAAATGTAAGACAAAGATATGTAGAGGAGGATGTCTGTATTACATTGTGGGAGCTACTCTTTACTAGTCTAATGCAGGGGCGGACTGACCATTCATGCACTCGGGCAGTGCCCGAGGGCCCAGGGTCAGTAGGGGGCCCCATGAGATGCCCCTAGTACCTTTCATAGGCTTTTTTGGGTGGGGTTTGAGTGTGGGTGAGGACACAGGGGCCCCATGATCCCCTATTGCCCAGGGGCCCCATGAGTTGTCAGTCCACCCCTGGTCTAATGCCTATTGATTTTACCAGAAATGCTGTGTCGGAGATGAACAAAGGCAGACATGTTTGAAGTCCAGCCATGATGGTAACCATTTGCTCCACATATAAAAAAAAAAGCAATGATCAACTGTCTGATAATGCTTTATTTATATGCTTTATTTATATAATTATTGTTAAATCTGAATCATCTGAATTGTCATCTGAAGGCACATGTTGAAATAGCTTGTGTGCATCCACATTATTATAACCGATAGGAAATTCTCAAATTGCAGTTATCATTATGTACAAAATCCTTCAGCATGCAAATGAAAATTCAGCTTTGTCTGCCTCTTCTCTATTTTCCTAATGTGTCTGTTTTTACTAGTAAGTGAGACAAACTGTAAATTGTAATTATGCTGAAGCTGATGTGTGAACCATTAGCATTGTGTATTGTTGTGTTCTAAATTTAGAGTAATTTAAGTAGGAGTAAATAAATTAAAGCATCTAAGCACTAAGATGTTTGGATTTTTATACATTTTTGAGTAAAGCTACAAAGATTAACCGTTTCAGTAACGGCTCATTTGTTCTAAAGGGATTGTGTGGACAAAATATAAAACAATCTCAACAGACTGCTTAGCACTGATATTATGACCTGAGATGGGTTTATAAACACATAATGCAACTCTATTATGCAGAAAAAAATTGTTGGTCTTAAAGGATAAGTTCACCTTTGGGAATATGTTACATGGTCCACCTGTTTTTAGGGTGGAACGTGTAACATGTTCCCAATGCTGCAGCTGCCGCTCAGTCTGACTGAAATGATGAAAGAATGAGTGAAAATGTAAAATGAAAAATTAAAGTGTAGCTATGCACAAAATGTAAATAATTATTTAATTCATTTCTGCTTTGTATTTCAATTATTTGTAGCCTATTCCTACACTGGAACTGTTTGAAAAGAATGCCTTTGGTGCCAGGTAGGGGTGCTACATCTGACAAAATATGATTTCCTCTATAAAAAAAAAGTCTATATGACCAGAGCCATATAATTGTTTTAAATGTGACATTGGAATTTGCACAAATAACATAATAAACAATTTTTGCTATTAGTTAAGTTGCCCAAAAGTGTCCAAAGCGCTGATCTGGCCTCAGGTCTATTTGATTGTAAAAGAGCCTGAACTTACATATGATGAACTAGTCAATTAATGGATGTTTACATGTTTATAGTGATATTTAAGTTTTTGATAGGACTTGTAAATGTACACACCAGCTACTTATTTTTACTGGGACACCAGTAGTACCTAGTAAGTATGTCACTAAGGTTAGCCCACTAGTGTGACCACCACAATGTGTTCCCAATACAGATGGAGGTGTGACACTGCAATACAAAGGGAATGGAACAAAAAACTACAATGGAGATATTTAAATATCGCATTTCACTCTTTACGTCTGGAAGAGAAGACATTTAATCTCAAAACACGGAAATGTTTCTTCACAGTAAAAGCTGTGAAAATATGGAATAGACTCCCTCAAGAGTTGGTTCTGGCCAGCTCAGTGGATTGCTTTAAAAAAGGCCTGGATTGTTTCCTAGATAGACAGAATATAATTGGATACTAACATTTATAGATAAAGTTGATCCAGGCAATATCTGATTGCCTCTCCGGTAATCAGGAAGGAATTGTATCCCTTGCAGGAGCAAATTGAAGCATGCTTTGCCGGGTTTTTTGCCTTCCTCTGGATCAACTGTGGGTGCAGGATTATAACTTTTTTTTTTTTAATGGCTGAACTAGATGGACTTTTGTTTTTTTTCAGCCAGACTAACTATTAAACTATGTACTTTCCTAAGATTTAAAAGAATCAAGTCAGTAAATAAGCTTATCAGCCTTTATGTTATTTTTTTTTATTCTTTAGTATCTCCAAAGCCAAAACTTGGACTGGGTAATGGTTAAAATTTATGTGCTCTATTTCAGTTGACCATTGGACTGCCTGATAGACCTAATAGGCAGTCATAATGGCCATCTGAAGGAGCACACATAAATATTTAAGGTACACTAGGACTCACTTCGATTATACTATTAAAGACCAATCAGTAGCAGATTCAAGTGTCATGGTTGCAGGTACCATATGTTAAACATATCTTGAATATCTTAGACTATATACATATATATACATTTATATACATATATATATATATATATATATATATATATATATATATATATATATATATATAGTTGTGTTCAAAATAATAGCAGTCAGACATCATTAACCTGATCAATCACTGTTTTTGGTAGAAATTATATTTCTACATGGAAAATAATTTACTAGCAGGTGTAGTAGAGTAATAGAAATCCAACAGACCCAACAGTCATGACATGCATGCTGCTGATTCTGTGTAATTGAATCACTCATTGAAAGGGGCATGTTCAAAATAATAGCAGTGTGGAGTTCTATTAGTGATGTCATCCATTCTTTGAAAAACAGGTGGCAATTATTGCCCTTATTTAAGGAAGGAAAGCAGCAAATGTTGTACATGCTGGTTACAGTGCATTTCTCTCTGAAATTCTGAGGGAAATGGGTTGTTCCAGACATTGTTCAGAAGAATAGCGTACCTTGATTAAAAAGTTGATTGGAGAGGGCAAAACATATAAAGAAGTGCAGAAAGAAGAAAAGGAAGGTTTGTAATGGTTAACATGTGAGTACTGATTAACAATTAGACAGACGCCTCTATGTGAAGCCAATGACTAATCTGCACAAGGGAAGGCCCCTGCAAATAATGTCCCTCATGTTGAATATAATAAAGAGATCGTGCTTGCCTGCCATGAGGTTACAAATTTGCCACAAGAGCACATTTGACTGGCCTCAAAGTGAGTATGGGCGCATTACAACTTTTTGTGGGGGGGGTACTGATTGAATGTAAGATGTGTTCATGTCTGGGGGACTATGTGGACGGAGGGACAGTTTGTCAAGCACGGACCCCCAAACACTGAATATTCAAGCCACTTGTTACACTGTGAAGGGGGACCAGTGACAGCGTTCGGTTGGTGAAAGCATTCATGATATGGGGATGTTTCTCTTACTACAGTGTTGGGCTCATTTATTACACCCCGCATTACCAGGGGTATCATGGATCAGTTTTGAAACCAACAATACAATCAGACAGATTTACGTGTTGTGATTTGATAGTAGGTTCACATGCCTGCCTTCATGCTGATAGCGGATAAATACCCACTTTTGATGAAACTGGGTGTTCCATACCATGAACAACTGACCCACAACACACACACAAGTTAAACTCGTGCATACAATTCTTCGGTGACCTTGACCAACTAAGGATTGTCAGTTATGAGGAGTTGCTCCAGCCCCATATCCACGGATCTTAATTCCAATTAGGGGGGGGGGAGACAAGGAATAACTTCTTGTGGGGTGACAATTCAAAACACATTGCACAGTTTCTGGTGGCATAATTCATTAGACGCAATGACACTAGTAAGTGAGGTAGTATCTGGTGGAATGTTTTGGGTACGTGCCTTTTCAGCTGGGCTGCTGATTTACGGGTCTCATGGGGGTGCATTGTAGTGGGGGGTCGCACTTGATAAAAAGCGTGGTTGAATGCGGTTGCTGATCACAGATGGACCAGAGTGGTCGTTTAGTTAACTGTGGCATGAGGTGGCAAAGTTGGTTCATGAATTTTAGTGAGGATTCAATATGGGATAAGCAATGTGTGGGTGGGGGGGTGCATACTATTTGTTCAGTTGCTTTTATAGTGCATTATGTTTGTGATTGGTATATAGAGGAGTTGTGGATAGGGGCACTGCTATTTGTTGTATTACTGGGTATGGTTAT